GCCTTATGATGTGATGTATGTAAGCTGCCTGATGATGTTTTTGCTGGAGATGCAGTTTTGAGGTGGCTCCAGCAGAGAGTCGAGCATAACGCAACCTTGTTATAACTACTTCATGCCAGAGATAGTAGATGGCTGATTGAGTACGAAAATTTAGGTGCACGTCACATTGACCAAGTTAAAGACTTCACGTAGAATTCATCTCTCACTGCCCTACGAATACGAGGTCAAATTCAAACGTAAGCCCTTACTCTCTGGTAGACAAACTACACTTCAAGCGGGAAGTTGACGAGAAGAAATCCTCATAGCCTCAAACAACATGTTTTGGATACTTGTAACACCAACAATCGAAGAAGGAACTAGACTCAACTCGCTTGACCGACGATCCTCCGTTTCCGACATCCCAGAGAGAACCAAGACACCGACAAACACAGTATCCTATCAGTATGACAACACCCTTAACTATTCATAGCCGGTAACTACTTCAACAGCAACACACAGTCGAAATGAAAAGGACAACTTAACAACAGTAAGAAGTTCTCCTCTTTCCCTTCAAGAGGGACTCCCCACCTAACGTCATCAGATTTGCTGATTCAACGAGTGGTGAGGAAACGAAAACTGGGTCTCAAGTGCTTAGCACCTGGTGACTGTAGTATCTATGAGAGATCCGATGGTGACATGAACGTCGTTAGCATCGACGATAGTGGCCTTAACGGCATCAATGTGCATCATCTTCATCAACTTGGTCAGAGTAGCATCATAGTTGAAGAACTCCATCTCGGAACCGTTGACCTTGTAATCAGCGTGCATCTTCATCATACCCGCGACATTGATAGTGGCATGACCATCGGTGAAGTCGATGTCGAAGCTTTGGCCCATCACCTTACCACAGAAATGACCACCGAAGACGGGAGTGGTGGTCGTAGTGGTAGTAGGAGCCTGAGTAGTAGTGGTAGTGGTAGGAGCCTGAGTAGTAGCGGTAGTGGTAGGAGCCTCAGTAGTAGTGGTAGTGGTAGGAGCCTCAGTAGTAGTGGTAGTGGCGGGGACCGCAGTAGTAGTGGCGGGGACCGCAGTAGTAGTGGCGGGAGCCTCAGTAGTAGTGGCGGGAGCCTCAGTAGTAGTGGCGGGAGCCTCAGTAGTAGTGGCGGGAGCCTCAGTAGTAGTGGCGGGAGCCTCAGTAGTAGTGGCGGGGGCCTCAGTAGTAGTGGCGAGGGCCTCAGTAGTAGTGGCGGGGGCCTCAGTAGTAGTGGTACCAACGGGGCTAGCAGGAGTAACATCCGAACAGGTTACAGCCTCGCCGACACATTCCTTGTCAGTAGGCTGGAAGCAGATAGAACCATCAGATTTCTTGATCAAACCAAAGCAAGTAGCAGGACTCTTCCAGGACTTGCAGTAGGAACCATACTTGGCCGTTTTGCATCCCTCAACATCGTTGCAGAGAGACATGCAAAAATCATCAGTAGCAGCCACAAGGGATGCAGAAGCAGCGGCGAAGAAAGTAGCGGTGGTGAAACGCATTTGAAATTAAGGAATTAACTAGTAACTGATAGGAAACTATTCAACTTACCATTCTTACACTCTTTCAGGGCGATTTAAATAAATCAGTGGTCCATCAAAAGGCACGGCCCGACAAAACAACAAAGCTATCGATGACAAATAAGCACCAACCTACTCCTATGACAAATTCATTCGTAGACATGACATAGCTAACACAATCGTTAAGATAGGATGTCCCCATTTCCCTGGACTAGCACAAGAGGATACTCGTGTGATTTATGGAGCTCATTCGCTATTCGTCGTCCTTATCGTAGGCAACGATGGAATCTCATCCTTCCAGACTCTAGAGCTTCGAGATTGATCATCTAAAGCGATTTAAACACCGAATAACTCTTCGTGTCGAGTAGTCTTTATCCGGTTGCCGAGACGGGACGTCGCTACATCGTGGTGTCTATATTACACGAACAACACAATGAGTGTCCCCGGGACACTGGGCCGATCATGTCATGCCGAAAAGTCGCATTCGAGTATCTCCGATCGGATGTTTTCACTGATTTTTGGTGACGGACTCTTATGACTCTTTTCACGCACGGTATGGTGTTCACCCGCTGAGACGAAAGCTGATCCCGTAACCTCATTTGCAGCGTTTCAGCTATACGGATGAGCTGAACATGTTCGTGAAATGCGACTCATAGGATGTCCGTGCATTTTCAACTGCAGCGGTGATATTTCCATCAGGTGCGTAATGCTCGGTGAATTCCTCCATGATTTTCAGGAGGAATATCTAGGAATCGGTTTATAGGAATTTAGCTTGAACGATTCGGTTCATGTTGAGAAAGGTGTACTGAAGACGATCCCTCGAACGACAGTTGTCATGCGGCATGACTCATGCCATAGACTCTGGATGAGCTGGCAAGAAGAGTTCCTTGTACATTGATGATTCCAATGACCAAAGGCGCAGGCATACCCTCTAGCCGATGCGTTATACTCGCGCCACGAGCATATCCGACTGCAACTATCTCCTCCAATAATCACGGAGGGTTTGAGAATCTCTTAGTTCACCACGATATGGGACACCAAGCAGTGAAGGCCAGATCGAAAATGATGGAGTCAAGCTCTAGCTCAGCAGACATCAATAACATATCTAATAAATGGAGGGAGTCTTCTAAAGTCTTCGCAGCAGGTACGCTATTTGCTCTTCGTGGAGTTGTTGCAGAATGTACTAATATTCGGCGAGGTCGGCAACCCTCCCGCGAATGGGGCGAATTGACAACTAGAAAACAAGGTAATGAAAAGTAAAGTATCACTAAGTGCAATAACTCTGAATGTTGCTCTAACGCCCCTAAACGGCGGCATATACTATAATCAGGAGTGAAGTCCAAAACGAACACCGTTGGCGGCAACTTCAGTTGACCTTCAATTCTGTGGAGTCCTAAACCAACAGCGAAGTTCTTCCTCTCCTCGAGCTCATACCCCACCTCGTTGTCGGCGGCCCTCATACAACTGCTTGGAAAGCAAAAGGCTAGGAAGCTACACCTCTCTCCAAATGGTGTAGTGAGCTTATCAGACCAATCATGGCAGGAGCCCTCCGCAGTAGAGATCTCCGATCCAACCTGTGAGTGCATTAGAGGACTATCATAAGCTCTTTCCACTTCTACCGATAACAGACAACTCTCGAGGTGCCTTTCATGCTACCATCTACTACATTGGAGTTTCACCCTAGTGATATGAAAAACACTAGTGAAAAACATATTTCACGACTACTACAGGCCTCCGCGAATATCGCGTTTTTCACCAAGTTTTACACCACTTCACGTAAAACGGGTGAAACTCCATTGTATGATGTACACTCACTACTATGTAGCTGCACCGCCCTCACAAAATCTCACCTCAGAGACTATCTTTTCCGATTTATTCCGTTCACCATTGCCTACTGACGAGCGCGCCTCCTCGTACTCATCATCACTGAACGATGCACACGATTGGAATCTAACAACTCGAATCAGTCCATCAAAACTCCTAAGGCGTTACTCAGTGCTGGTGAAGGAACCCACCGAATAGAAGTCAACTGATGATGACGATCCACCCGTCTCGAACCTGAACAATACAACTATACTTCCTAAACACTTCTCAGCACTTACTCAGTCCGCGAGTCGTCTTCTACTTCTGAAGCCTGTCGACAGCTCGGACAGCTACAATCACATGAATTCATTCTACTATGAGTCATCCCATAAGTAAACACTGCGAGCCGTCGTAACCACTCCTTCCCCTCAACACAACTGATCCAATTGCACACATCCTCGCTATCATCGGGACAAACTGTCAACTACGTATAGACAGCGCCCGTGCGATATGGTACACGAAAAAACGTAAAGTCCTCACCAAATGCAACGACTAGGCTTGTTCCCAACAGTTTCGTCGTGCCTCCGCGAGCCTTCACTCGGCAACTGCACCGCCGCTGTGGCAGGCAAGACACGATAGCCACTTAGCCGTAACCGATCTCCGCTTATTCTTTTTCTTTCGGGACATACCCTCTTCTCCAATGCCATCCGCGGTCTGTGGCTTCTTAGCGTGAGCGCTGCTGCTGCTGCCCGTTACCAAGGGCAGAGCAGCACACTACTGAACATGTCCTCATCACTAGCTCGAGCAAGTGAGATGTCGTGCCGACTTCCACGGCCACTGA